AATATTGTTGTGCAAAGTTTTCTATGTATTTAGATACTAGTTCAAAGGATAGCAATTGAAAAAATAACATACACATATCTTCCACCAAGCCGCAATGCTTTCACAGGCTTCATCACTGTACCATAAACGATCATATTTAAATTAAAAAAAAAGTAGCTAGTTTAAAATTCCGTTGCATAATATTTGATCGATGACATATAATTTCACGGTTTTTGCTGGGTTTGTGATGATTATTCTTTAGTTTTCTATGTTGAGTTTTGTATACTGTTTGTCTTTTGATCGCATTTGTGCCACTGTCAGTTCGTTTTTGACTTATTCGTTTGAATATTCCTTTGGCATCTTTCACCTCTCTTTTCCAACATTTAATATGCACCTTCAAAAAAAAGAAACATATCACCATCAGTTAGTTCATTGTTCTATATGGTTTATACCTCAAAGGGTGACTGGGGAATAGAACAAATATTGGCACCACATATCTTCATCCCACCGGCAGTGAACCCCTTGCCAAAGTGGTGCGTACGTTTGGATTGCGGATTGTACAAGTATACAGCCACGTCCGGTCAGAATGGTGACGTTAAATCCGATGCCTCGTGTAAAGAGAGTGCCACCAGTTCTGCACGTCAAGAACCTTTGTAAGAACTCTTTGAGGGGTCCGATTTTTGCAATTTCTGTCCCTATCCAATATTCCCTCATTTTCCAGTGGTAGACTAAATTTCCCAATTGACATTCATCCTGGACAGCCTCTATTACAGGACCTTTTTATTGATTTTGTTCTCGTCCCGAACATGAATGAAATATATGCCACTAGGCGTTAAGCAACCAACAATCAATCAATCGATCAATCTATACGGTTTATCAAAGTTACTTTAAACAGATGTAAAGGCTGTCAAAACAGATAGCATTTGTTTCAAACATTGTGGATCACCATGATGCTTCATTTGTTTTTACATCTTGCAATTAAAGGAATCGCCCGATGTAGACAAAATGCAGCCGGGACGCTACGTGAGATTACATACTTTTTCAATATGTTTAACCGCAGTAACCTGGATTAAGTAGCATCGATTGATTGAAAATTAGGGGGTGATATGATATATACAAATGTATACTATAACGTTACTTTTTACCTCAATTTTTTATAATTTATTATCAGAAATTCAGGTGACAGTAATTATATTCATTGAATTCGAAGCAATATTACCTTACTGTCCATTGCTTTAAAACACAGTGATTTTGATAATCAGTTTAAGTGGCTAAGGGCCAATTTGTATAAAGCAATGTCATCCTTTGTTTTAGAATTATAAGAAAATCCTCAAATGACAATTTTGAATAAAATTCATTATATGATATGTTTCTAGTAGGGATTGAAATCGTTCTTCAGTACGCGTTAGCCGTTTTAAACAATTTGTGTTATCCAAATCAAATTACTATAAATAATGTCAATAGATAATCTAGTTTACAAAATGTACATAAGAAATGTCTGTGTCTCAATATCCTTATTTTATTTGTAGAAACAATTCAGTTTTTCTTTACTTGTTTATTTGCGACATGAAGCATTCAGGTGGTTTTTTTGTAAGCAGAAGCTCAGACGAGACAATCCTGTTTCATTTTACGAAAGTCGTATATGCATTTTCATACTTCAGACAAAAGTAAGATAAAGCAAGATATTTAGGTCAAGATTGTCATATGATTAAATAAAAATTACAAACCATTGTCATTACTGTACATATTAAAACTAACAAGAGTTATACAATTATATACAAGTAAAATGTATATTACAATGCAAAATAGACATTATAGTCTTTAGGAGCCCATTTCAATTGAACGTTAAGCCCACTAACCGTAAATATGTGAATATCGAGAGAGGCCTTTTGATGTAGATAAAAACAAAAAAATGTAACAATGTTATATATCTTAAAAACTTACATGTAAAAATGAAAACATCATTTCATACTTTTTTAGCGTTCGGAACGCTTTTTTTTATTTACCTTCACAATGACAAGGAACGTTCAAATCCAACTATTTGAAAGCCAATGATGTATAAGTAACTTCAATATTCAATATTCAATTTCTTATCGTATAACGAAATAGATCTTAGTAAACGGATTTTTTTAAATTTTTTCGTATTGATGCACAATAGAACTGTCTAAAATATTGCAGAGCTCCCTTTTAATCATTTCTTTTAAATGATCACAAATTACATTAAAAGAAAACATAAATAGGGAAACAATGATATGATAACTAAACTTGAAAGCATAGAACATGTACAATTATACATATCTATATAGATTCTTCAAAACCGATTTATTCTAGAATACAATCATCCCAAGAATTTTGGTAGATATCGTCTGTTTCTAATATCATTCCATTGAATAAAGCCCGTCATGTCCATAACATTTGTTTTAATCTATTTGTTGTATTCTTGACAGATCCCTGTCATCTTTATCTCGCTGTTCATAGATTTTCGCATTTTCAGCTCTTTTTTAACATTTCTCTAAGGCTTCTTCTCTTTGATTAAATACGGATTTTTGTTCTCGCATTTCGCTTTCAATCATCAGTTCAATATACTAAACAGTACTAAGGAAATATGGCAGAAGTGCTTTTTCTTTCAGTTTATTATTATTTTCGGCTACATCTTCTACCTTGACACCAGTGCCAACCTCTAAAACTTCCATTTCTTCATTCATATTCTTCAAATACTTCTTCTGGTGACAGCTTCTTCTTGTGTAATATCTGATATTTATCTTTTATTAAGCTACATTAACGAAATGATATCCTTGCGGTTACATTTGAAGGTATCTTCCTACATATAAAACATTTCGAAGTCTTATTACTGAATGTCAAATGAAATAAACCCTAAACAATCGGCAAAGATCTAAATCAAATAAACATATACTTTTAAAATTTGAATTTTAGTTAGGGAAAAGTTAATCTCACATCCATGAATGCGCCTTAGCTTTATCAAATAAAGTTAGTATAAGGTTCGGCTATTACATTCATTAACCACATGTCATTGGCTTTCCTTAACAATTATGTCCACACTAACGCCCGTATGTCTCCCTCAATATGCATAAAAAGCGATCACACTAGATTTCATTCCATCATTTGATAGTGAATAATTCAATGAAAGGAAAACTAGCTATTGTATACCTGAAGTAGGATTGATTGTTGTTCGTAAATACTGCATGCATGTTCAGGGCGAGAAAAGAGATGGAATAGTCCGTACTATTATCATACTATAACTTATAATGATATTAAATACAGTTCAAATCGATCATACAACATTTAACCGAAACAAATGGTTTTTTGGCTGGTTGTTGAATAATTAGAACACGTGATACATGTGATACATTTATGATGTCGTTTTTAGCTCACCTTTCCACAGGAAATGTGAGCTTTTGTCATCACTTGGCGTCCGTCTTCGTCCGTTGTCGTCGTCGTCGTCGTCCGTCGTCGTCGTCGTCCGTCCGGTGTAAACTATTTCAACATCTTCTTCTCTGATACTACTGAACCAATTCCAACCAATTTTAAGCTGAATGATCCTTAGGATATTTAGAATATAGTTTGTGTTTAATTATCTGTTTCGTCAAAAAAACATGGCCGCCATGGCTAAAAGTAGAAATTAGAGGTAAAATGTAGTTTTTGGCTTATATCACAAAAACTAAAGCATTTAGAGCAAATCTGACATGTTTAAAAAGGTTCATTAGGTCAAGTTCTATCAGCCCTGAAATGTTCAGATGAATCTAACAACCCATTGTTGGGTTGCTGCCACTAAATTGGTAATTTATGGAAATTTGGCATATTTTAGTTATTTTCTTGAATATTATTATAGGTAAAAATAAACTGTAAACAGCAAAAAAGTTCAGCAAAGTAATATCTAGAAATAAGTTTTAAATGACCAAAATTGTCAATTGACCCCTAAAGGAGTCATAGCGGACAATTTTACACAATTTGTTTATCATGTTTTCTAACTTAAAAAAATCTTCTCCTCTAAAACTACTGAACCAAATTATACCAAACTTAAGCTGACTGATTTTTATGTTATCTAGAAAAAAGTTTGTGGTTTTTTATTTGTGTCCTCAGAAAACATGGCCACCATGGCTGAAAATAGAACATAGGGTAAAATGCAGTTTTTGACTTATATCTCAAAACTTAAAGCAATTGAGAGCAAATCAGACAAGAAGTTCAAATAATCATTTGGTCAAGGTCTACCTGCCCTGAATTATCAGCCAAATCGGGTATCTGATTTTTAGGTTATTGCCCCTGAATTGATGATTTTGATGAAATTTTGCAGTTTTCGGTTATCATGGTTATTATCTTGAATATTATTATAGATAAAGACAAACTGTAAACAGCAAAAAATGTTCAGCAAAGTAAGATCTACAAGTCAGTTTTGTATGACAAAAATGGTCAATTGACCCCTTAAGTAGTTATTACCCTTTAAAGAAAATTTTCACAATTGGTTCATCTAGTTTGCTTATTTTTAAAAATCTTCTTCTTTGAAACTGCTGAATCAATTTCAGCCAAACTTGGGCTGAATGAGTTTCAGAGTATCTAGTATAAATTTTGTATTTTATTTCCTTGTACGTCAAGAAACATAGCCACTATGGCTAAAACGGAACATAGGGGATAAAATGCATTTTTTTGCTTTTGAAGAAAATATGACAGATACAAAGAACATTTAAATGGCATTCTGAAGCCACTTATTAATATATATTGAAAAGTAAAAATAATCATTGACGAAAGATTTAAGCAAAACAATACAGGTGAGCGATTCAGGCTCTTGGGAGCCTTTTGTTTCTGTAGCGGTCCCTAAGTTTTGTTGACATGATACCAACTTGGAAAGTTTGAACATGTTTGATTTGCATATAGATACCTAGTTATTAAAAGCAAAACAATCATGAGTAAAATACGAAAAGTTAATGACTTTAAATATTGCACAAAACAATACACTAATCGCTTAAAATGAGTACCAGAAACCCAATCAAATATCTAGTGGATCCATTTAATTTTTATTCAAAATCTTTTTATTTATCATTGTACATAAACAGTTCGAATAAAACAATACAAATTTCAAAATAAAGAATTAGAAGTTGTAACTGAATTTGATTTTCGCTATGCTAAAACTGATAGAAAATAATATAATTCGATACGTCAGACGCATGTTTCGTCTACATCCGACTCAACAGTGGTGCTTGACTTAAAATTATTTAAAACCCGAAAGTTTGTTTATAATAACTTTTTTTCATAATTTATCAATTTCTTCTTGTTTTAAGTTTATGTCAGCTTTAAGTGTGTCATTCACTTCTTGCAAATTTTTCACCTTCTTCTAATTTTCTTAGGATCTATAAAATATAAAACATTAATAAATAATTAAATCAGATGAACAGAGCAAAATAACAAAATGCTATCCACGTTTTTTTGCAAAGTCTATAAACAAAAACCACTACAACAATTTGGATTAAAAAAATGTTGGATCAAGAAACAAGAAAGAAGGTGCACACTGGTTTTGAACGAAAAAAATTCAAGGAAATTGTAATAAAGTTAAGACAAGGTAGGGTATCGGTTAAAATAGTGTATCAGGCCTTAGTTTTCTCCTTTGAATTGTTCTACATTTCATATCGTGACCATTAATAGCTTGCTAAACATATAGGTTTTGAAATTCGTGAGTTGACCTATAGTCGCTAACTTCTATGTCATATGGTTTCTGGTGAAAAATTGCCTCAATGGCAATCCTACCACGTTTTAATATTTTTAGATTGTCGTGATTACCGTGTGCGAATATGAACCAGTCAATGCAAATATAATCAACTTTCTGTTACCGGAAGGAATAGTTTATACTATTATTACACTAGAAATTATCAATAATATGAAGAAAACAAGAGGTACTGCGAGCAAAATTTATATGACATATTAATGCCCTAGTCCCTTAAAAGGTTTATACACATTAGCCCGAAAATAGTTCGGATAATCAACAAAATAGGAACTACACAATGGCAATGTATGGTTGAAATATTTTCGGCGAAAGGTTTTATAAATTCTAAACCAGTTAAGGAGTTGTGCATGGAAAATGGGTAAGCCTATATCAAGAAAGAGCAGGGATTGTTAAACAAAATCCCAAAATCATTTTGGATACATACAAAATAGAAATTTAACAAAATTAAACTAGAGGTAATGCAAAACGTATGATTAATTAAACCACGAGTTGCGGTGAGCAGAAGTAACAAAATTTAATTGGTTTCATTTTTTAAATCATGACCATATTAACCCCTACATTGCTTTCTAGATATGCATAAACAGTGACAGCAATAGATTTGATTCCATCATTTGATAATGAGTATTCTAGTGAAAAGCAAACACAATGAACCTTATGTTGACCGAAAGAATGGTCCATATTATTATTGAATTAAAGCTCCTCAATAATATTAAGGATGTAGTCAGGTGAAATTAAAAAAAATCTGGATTTTAAAATTGATACTATAAATCATAAAAGCTTTGTTAAGGAACAAAATAAGCTAAAAATATTGATAGGTTATGGAACTCCTTTTTGAGACATTTATTTTAAAAAAATGGTGGGAAAAGGCTGACTCGGACGTTTACCTTATATTTAGCATTTGCATTATTTGGGTGTCAAATCGTAAAAAAGAAACCAAGAATCTGCTTAAATGTTGGTAAATGAGCTTGGATAAGCTAACGAAGTCAATATGAAAAGAAAAGTGGGTAATATGGAGCAAAATATTTTACCCTGCATTGTATTAAAAACCCCAAGGAGTCCAAACATCTGACACAAATTACAAAACCTGACATGAGTACATCCTTAAATACAATTCAAATCAAGCATGAAACTGGTAAACAAATAACAGATGGTTTGAGACCAGCTGTTGAGTAATCTAAATAGATGATACAAAGATCATTGCGTGTCGTTTTTCACAGTTTGAAACTTTGTGGGCTTGATACCACATCAGAAAACATGGAACATGTTCCATATTCAAAAGATATGATGTTTTTTAAAACAACAAAATCTTAAATCAAAGACAAGAAGGAAAATACTAGAATCACTTCACAAGAACAATACATTAAACGGTAAAAGACAAGGGACCAGGCACTTAGTGAAATAACATTTTGTGGGTTATTTCTCATTGTTTTTGTATCAATCACTTTTAAAAAGGATATTTGTAGCAAACATGACTAATACTTTACACTCACCTAAACTGCATGTCCATAAACAACACCGTGTACCTTTTGTATTCACAATTGAACGTTATTATAGTAAATAAACAGTTCGAACAAAAATTCAAAATTTAATAATAAAGTTGCTTTACATCAAACAAATAACTCGCAACTATAACTAACTTTGATAATTTTTCTATTTCGTCTTCTTAGATTTTATGTCAGCTTTTAGTTTCTCATTGTCTCCTTGCTGTTCGTTTACTTTCTTCTCTCTTTCTTTAAGTCTACAAGAAAACAAATATTAAAACAAGATGTAATGTTTACAACACATACACATAAGTTCATGTACTCCCGTCCCTTGCGAAGTTCATGTACAGGAACTCCAGAAATATTTCGAATGAAACACTCAATATGAAGTCTAAATATGATTGTTATTCTGACAAAGTTTTTATAAGTTCTAATAACGGGTTCAGGAGTAGCGGATGAAAAAATAGTATACTCATATAAAACAAGAGCATGATATGTTAAGGAAATTTCTTAACTAATTTTGGATGAAAACATAAAAATAGAAAAGACACAATGGCAATATATTGTGAAGATTCTAAAAAAACTAAATTAATTAAATTGTTATAATGAAGGATGGGACCTATGTGGCAGATTTATATACGGAGTTTAACTTCTGTATCACTATCCCGTCAAACTGGTGTTGTCAGTTTTAACCTCATATGCGGCCGGTGCGTACGACTGCAATCCTAATTGACTAAGATTGTCATTTTCCTGTCGAAGGTTGGTAGAGAACACCGGCTTCCACCAGCAATAAAATTTAACCGCCTCGAAAATAGCCAATACTGCAGAAAGTGGGGTTAAACATCAATTCATGAATAAAACAATATTAGGAAGTGAAGCGAATACAAATATGAACTGTCTTGATTTAAGTTTGCGAATGTGAACACTATATGTCATGACAATGTAATTCAAAAAAGCAGTCTGGTGAAAAATGAATTAGGGGATTGCAAAATTGCGAACAAAATGTGAAAGTTTCGCATCATTTTTCAATCTGTTTAAAAGAAGTTACGGATATCATAGAAGTAGAGAAGGAAGGAACGGAAGAACAATCAGACAAACTCTCTCCCAATTACAAGATACCAGCTGCTTCCAAAAGCAAGAGTATGAAACCAACAATAAATAAGCAAAAGTTTTTCATTAGGCATTCAGCAGGTGCTCATATATAAAGATATCTCAATATTCAGTTTGAAGTTTAATATTGATGAAAAATGAAAATAACACTTTATACATTTTATACGTTCGAAGCGCATTTTTTTTTGATAAACCTCACGAATATAAACACTAAATCTCATGCCAAAGTAATTAAAAAACACCTTCAGAAACGGTCAAAGCCAAATTGTTGAAAGCCAAGAATGTAAAAAGAGCTATTTGTCAAAGAAGGAATTGTAATTTATTGCCAAAAATAATCATTGTTTGTCATTTGTCTCATCGGGTTGCAGTTTCATTAATTTTCACCTTTTAATTATACCTTAGCTAGGAAAAATTACAGTTTTACACTAAGTCAAGGATATAAATATCTTGTCCAAGGTACAATCTAATTTTTATTAGTGTTCAGAATAAATAACTAAAATAATGTTTAATAAATCTGCAGAAATGATGTACATATAACTTTAAAAAAAACCACGTCTGCATATAAACGGAATTTAGATTTTAGAAAGATTTCATTAGATCGACCATTTCCCCCATGTTTTGCATTATATGTTTATCTATCAATGTTGCGAAACCGATAGTAACAGTTCCAATTGAAATGAAACTGTGTAATGTACGTAGTTTTTAAATCGTTATCCAGAGCATTTATTACTTTTAGAAATATTTGGCTATAAAAAGGTCCCTTTTGTCTGAAACTTTCTATCTGCAGTGCATATAACCAATGACTTACTGTACCAGCTCTTTCATATCACTTTGTTTTAGTTCAGTTTTTTGTTTTTCATTCTCATCTCGTAGCTGTATTGCTTTTGTTTCATTTCCTTTCAACACATGTACTAATCTAAAAGTATTACGTAAAGATATGTATGTAAAACATATATCAATCAAAATGATGTATAAATACTCTGATTTTTGAGGAAATTCTTTCAAACTCTCTATTTCAATATACGTTATTTTCATTTTCCATTTTCATCCCATATTTGTTTTATTAATGAACCTGTTATTATTGCAACGTTAACCTTATTTCTATTTTTTCCGAACGGTTTACGTCATGTGGAGGATCAAATACAAGATAATATTTTCAACAGTTCTAAAGGTGTTCAACGAATCAGGAGATATTTATGAAATCAGAAATCATTGATACAATAAACCGATCTTGTATATTCTATTTACACATACAAGGAGTAAGGAACATGGATTTTAATATTCTTATAACATTCCAGTAAAATACGAGTATTGACCATAAACTATCACTAGTTACTACTTATTGTTTAATGTAGGAAACATCCACACAAAATGGTTTTGAAGTTTGTTTTAAAACGTTTTACACATATACTATTAATATAATATGAGCTGCGTCGGATAGAAATCGACCTTATGCAAATGAATATCAATACATCTTGTTAACCTATTTCGGGTTGAAAAAATCTCTACGGAAAGTCTGTAACGGTTAGAAAATTGAGTTGTTATAAGAATCCTATAAAACAGACCAAAAATTCATCTTTTGTTTTGTTTTGAATGTTCCAAAATCAATCAAAGTCTTAAACATGTACATGTATACGTGCACTTGCATAAGGTCGATTTCTATCCGACGCAGCTCATATGATACTTTACATTGTTCCGTTTTGTCTATTAGTCTAAACTATAGAAAACTACATAATATGATGCTTTACCTACAATTACTTACTTTGATAGTTTTGCTATTTCCTCTTGTTTTAACCTTATTTCAGCTCTCAGTTTGACTATCTCCTCCTCTTGTTTATTTAATATTTTATCATATTCCTGCAATCTATGAAGGAAGTAAACGATATCAAATATACCATTTAAACATTATATGCGTTTAAATCTAGAAAGTTCAACTTTAATGCTTTTTAAGCATGTTAAAAACAAACACAGAACATCCATTCTCTGACACATATTTTTTATTTTCTTCTGCGGGTCTAAATTAAGGAGGGTCATGCAGCCCTTATTTGACAACACAATTGCCAGAAATATCTTTTGTTCCGATATTAATCAGATAGAAATGTGTTTTCGAAACTACGGTTTGGCTTTCCAAAATCACAATAATTATGACATTATACTACAGGTATAATGATCAAAGTGACTTATCAGAAGTTGTTATCAGTGTAAGGTTTATACTACATAGAAGTCTCATTGGCTTTTTCGGATAAAAGCATTTTCTTTCATTTCATTGGGTAAAAACTTGTTAAACCTTAAACGTGTATTCAATTCCGTTGTTGGAGTTGAGAAATTGATCCTGAAAGGTCATGCGAACATTGAAAGTCAAGTGTTCTATTACTTTGGGTTTGTTTTAAATATCTGCGAGATAAAAAAGAAAATAACAAACAGACACTATTTATTAAGTATACAACCCAAACGTGATTCTGATACCTTAATATACAAACTTGGAGATGATGTATGATATCCAGTGAGACAGCTATCCACCAAAGCTCAAACGAAGTGGATGTAGGCAGTTATAGGCTACCGTACGGCCTTCAACAATGAGAAAAGTCCATACGGTATAACCGGCTATAAAAGGTCCGACATGGAAAACAATTCAATTGAACAATATAACGGCCTAATTTATAACAAAACAAAATAACGAAAAACAAATATGACAGACATGAACCAAGGAAATTAAACCTCTATACTACATAGACAGGCACATATAGAATATGGCGGGGTTAAACTAGTTTGTTTGCACAAAACCCTCCGCCTTACTTGGCACAGTGGTGTAACAATACAACATAAGAACAAACTATCAAAATTAGTTAAAAGGGCTAAGCTCCTCAGATCGATACAAGCAGAAAATACATCTAACAAAAACATAGACCGGACGTGGCATGGTATTTATATATCCCCACAACGAATAAAAAACCCACACTAAGAAAGGACCTGAGAGTACTCGCAGTTATTGACAGTTAGTTCAAAGACAATAACAACTAATATAGAAATCTAAGACTAAAAAATCGATATATTCACATTCAACATTCAATGTATGTTGTGTAAAGTCGGCATTAACAGTCAGAGAAAAATATGACATTGTGCAATGCCAAGATACAGGTTTTTACAGATTGTAGAACCATGAATGTGCATATGTCTGCAACCATTTAATTTAGTTTGGTATTTTAAAATTTACTGATAACAAAATGTATACCAATACAAACAATATTCCAAGATCTATTTACAGTTTTGAGTTAGCTTTTTAGAATAAGTATAGTTAAAGCATCGAGAAGCTAACCAAGACCGTATATAAATTTTCGGGCTTGGTAAACAACATTTCCGTAAAAATAAGGATGTGCTATCCAGTTTGAAATAAGTTAATTTTTGTAATTGTATTTCTATTTGTATCCATCTGATGGTTAAGCCTTTTTCAACTGATTTTTATAGTTTGTTTTTATGTTGTACTGCTACACCACTGTCTCAGGTTAGGGGGGGGGGGGGGGGGGGGGGTAGTACCAACACACTAGTTTTACCCCGCCACATTCTATATGTGCCTGTTCCAAGTATGGAGCCTGTTATTGAGTGGTTGTTGTTTGTTGCCCTAAATTATATTTGTTTATTGTTTTGTATAGTGTGTTCTTGTTTTTTTGCTGTTGCACCACTGTCCCAGGTTAGGAGGTGGGTTTGGCGCCATCTAACAAGATTAACCCAGTCACATTATGTATGTGCATGTCCCAAATAAGGAGCCGATAATTCAGTGGTTGTCGTTTGTTGCTGTGTCACAAAGTTGTTTTTCGTTCATTATTTTGTACGTTAATTATGCCGTTAGTTTTCTCCTTTGAATTGTTTTACATTTGTCAGTTTGGGGCCTTTTATAGCTGACTATGCGGTATGGCCTTTGCTCATTGTTTAAGGCTGTACGGTGATCTATAGTTGTTTTATGGTGTCATTTGGTCTTTTGTTGATAGTTGTCTCATTGGCAATGATACCACATCCTCTTATTTATATAATAGAGTTTCTACTAGTAAAGCCAAAATTTCAAACCAAATATTTGTATCTATCGAGGAATATATTAAAGGTTTTAACTAATTTATTGTAACGAAATCCCGGACTTTATAATTTACCGTTAATACATAGATTACGCTCATTGAAATCCAAAATGTCACTACAGACACGGGCATATCGAACGAGTTGGGATATATAAACACCGTAAGACGGTGCCAGAGGAACATCATCGTCAAAAAAGGGAAAATCAACAATAAGGAAAGAAAAATTGTCCCTTTTATGGTAAAATGTTGTGTAGTATTAAGGTTATTTCAATTGTTCTGATATTATCAATCGGATTTTTCAAGCTAAAACATACACTTAGTTAAGCTTCCATAATTTTATCAGCGTATTCATATATTTATTCAAGCTTCGGTCCTCAGTTTCACGGTATCAATGAAACCGCCTCGGTAGTCTCGTCGTAGCGTGCACGTCTCTAGTTCGGGAGTCGTGGGATCACACCACATCTGGGACAAACAAAAGACTTTAAAATGTGAATTTCCTGTTTCTGCACTAAGCATACAAGGAGGAAAAGCAAAGACATTGTGACTTTTGGTCAGAATAATATATCAGAAGATCAAAAGACATGTATTCTTGTGAATTATTACTCAGTGGAATAGAACGTTAAGAAACCGGCTCTGCTTTTCGGTTTAGTTCAAATCATAGTTAATATTAAGGATGTCAACGAGTATTTGCACGGAAGCACCGAGTATCAAATATCAAAAAGATACTGGACTTATCAGTTTCCTGTTAGGAAATTGTCACCTTCTTTTCATAAAAAATAATTTTGTCGTGAAGGCTCTAAGGAAAATCAAAAAGTAAGCACTGATTAATCATAGTAAATTAACGTTTCGCATATGGGTACAAACTTGTTGTTTACAATACCTCCAAAACCCTGCATTTGAAAATACAGTAATATATATATCCCTTACAGTGTTGGATAACACAAGAAAGCAGTTTTCGTAAGCCGACACATTTGGCTTAACATGTTTTAGTCATTCTCGCCACACATCTGCAGGACTGATTAAAAAGTTTCGAAACAAAGTATTCCCTAAAAAAGTTGACAAGAAAATATTTCTGAACAACAACAAATTGGTCTTTCCCTGTGATACTGTGAACGTTTATTAGCTCCTCATAACAGACGTTCCAATTAAAACTTTGTCATCAACAATGCTACAAAATCTATTCCTATTGGAACAAATATTCTATACTCTCTAATCCGTCTGTAACAAATACTGTTGTATTTAATCCAGTGTATATTATATTGCAGACTATTTCTTCCCTTTGGAATAAATACTATAAAACAACTTCTATTACATGACATGATAACTCTCGGTGAATGGTAAAACGCAGCAGTGATTATCTAATCATAAAGCCTTTGACAAAGTGTTTTCTTTTCAAAATTTTATGGTTGTTTGATTTGGTTTGACTTTGAAATAATTTGTTTTAATTAAGTTTTAATTACATAAGGGACTAAAATTGATTTTTAGAACATGTAATAAATGTGCTATTAATTTAGACATACACTTTCTATGACTATTATTTAGCCGCCTTGGTGGTCTCGTGGTAGTGTGTTCGCCTCGAGTACGGGAGGCGGTAGGTTCGAACCAAGGCTGGGTCAAACCAAAGACTTTGAAATTCGTATTTGCTGCTTCGCCGCCAACTACGCGGCATTAATGAGTAAGAGCAAAGACTGGTCAGCTGCGGACTATTACCTTGTAAGCTAGCACGTTAAATATCCGGCTCAGCGTGTCGATCTAATACAAAGCTTGGTAAATATTCATATTACATATTAGCATGTTCTCGTCCTAAAAATGCATATTAATTTGCCGCTGGACGTAAAGCAAACATCCATCATCTTCTATGACTATTATAAATCTTAAGGGTTTAACGTCCATTTAATAACGAGTAAACATTATATGATACTGTGTTCCCCTTTTGTTGATTTGTTTGCGAGCCGAATAATTGAGTATCGCTCGGTAAAACAACGGATACTCGATTGGTATTTCGTCATCGAGTTGACATCTCTTCATCGTCATTATCATCATCATCGTCGTCGTCGTCGTCATCGTTGACTTCGTCCTCATCATCATCGTTGACTTCGTCCTCATCATCATCATCATCATCATCATCATCATCATCATCATCATCATCATCATCATCATCATCATCATCATCATCATCATCATCATCATCACCATCATCATCATCGTCATCATTGTCATCGTCATCATCATCATCGTCATTATCGTCATCATCATCATCATCGTCATCATCGTCATCATCATCATCGTCATCATCTACATCGTCATCATCGTCATCATCGTCATCATCATCGTCATCGTCATTATCATCATCATCATCATCATCAGCATCATCATCAACATCGTCATCATCATCATCATCATGGCATCAATGAATGTATAATTATCAGTCATGCGTATCGATATAATATTCATATTGACACAAATCTATGTATCGCCAAAACAGAGAATTTGGAATGTCCTGAAAATGTACTCGTGATCATTCAATTAAATTATAGCATATAAAGTCACTCAGAATCATTGTACTGTGACTTACAGGAACATAATAAAAGTATCGATCATGTGTTTTTCAAAAGTTACAAAACAATGTGTGAGCTAGCTAAATAAAATCCAGACGAAATCGACATTAACTCTTTCATTGATTTTTTTTAACACGAAATGCCATTAATTTGCCAACAGATATTGTGGCTTTATTTAACTTCGAATTATCATAGCTATGTTAACATGTATGCATCTTAATGTTCTGACGACACATGTTAAACAGCCGAACTGTTATCGGCGTGATTATGCTACCAAATATCAAGATCTTTAGTTTAAGTAAATATGTGTTGATAT